AAGCGGTACTGTGACACTATCCTGTAAGCGGTCAACAGAAAACGGCCAGTGACGCTATCCTTCGTCTCGGTAGGATTTTCATGCTGAATATAAAACTTTAAGGATCAATTAACTCTGGAACATTTTGTTGGTTTAACTATGTTCTTATATCTTTATAACATCCATACTAAAACGGTTATATACAGGGAACTAAACACACAGATATGACATTAATTATAAGCTAAATAGAAGTTCTCTGTCCCCTAGCTTGTGCTTTGCGGGGAAATTTGTCAAAAATGTGCCAAAACCCGGCCTAGAACAAATAAAACATTTATAATTCGCTTTTGTCTATGAATCTTTAATAGTAGTGGAAAAACAGATGATCCGGAGAAAACCCACGAGGTTGGACAGACGACCCTATTCCGAATCACGTAATAGTTTGTGTCGAAACCTTATGAACACGAAGAAAATAACTAGAACTTGGACTGTGAAACACTGTAAAAAAATGATTTCTCTTTTAAGATTTTTATTTTAAAAACGATCTGTATTTTAAAAACCATCATTTTATTTTTAAGAAGCATTTTATTTTAAGAAGCATTTTATTTTAAATAACTTTTTATTTTAAATAACTTTTTATTTTAAATAACTTTTTATTTTAAATAACTTTTTATTATCAAAACGAGTTTATTTTCAAAACGAGTTTATTTTCAAAATGAGTTTATTTTTAACAACCGTTTTATTTTCAAAACTATTTTAATTTAGAAAATATTTAATTTTAAATGATTGTTACTTTAAAACGAAGAACATTTAAAAAACTAGTTGTCTGTAAAACTTGTTTAAAATACCCGGATAATTACATCTCGTAATGGACAAATCAGTTCCAAATATCATAAACTCTAGAGAATGAGAATCTGAGTAGGGAAACAGCTGTTAAAACTGAATATAGCATCTCTAAGTATTCACTAAACAGTTCATCAATACACATATGACATGAATGCAGCGATTAAAACTCCTTTGTCAGTCGTATAGGACGAGCCTTAGTGACATGTCGCATGTCCAGCCCCAACGCCAACGCACGTGTCATGGCAGTGGAGAATAATATATCTATAAGCCAAGCCACGTGTCACGCGGTACCCTCGTCATTATTATTGACTAAAGAGCGTGGACAAAGCCCATTACACACATGTAATGATTTTAGAATGTGAACCATAACGGTAATTTTAATAATGCCATTATTTTCATTATTTCAGATTTCTATTGTGAAAGCAGAAACTGCTCAAACACCGGAATATTTTAATAACTGGCAGTGGTACCTGCGCATTTAATTATTTTACCTGAAACAAACATGGCTACTATTTGACCTCAAAGCACTAAATATCATAATATACCCTTTTATTCCTTAACGACGTATAAATACCATGTGCAAATTCCAACTATGTCATTATTTCTTTCCAAAACGCATGCAGAGGAGTGGAATATTTTAATAAGCACATGTTTTTTTGTTTTTCTAAGGGTTTTAATTCAGAGACAAAACTGACTAATGAGCACTCTGATTTTCAATTTAATTTAATTCATTTCACTTTACTTTGACAAATTAAACTGTGTGTTTGTCTAAAAATGTCGACATGACTCGGCGACCTTAGTGGCCATTGGATATGACGACAAATAGACTGAACTATAGAATGAAAATACGTGTATTAGATAATGCACGGGTTTTCTATTTTTAAACTTAAGATATCTTTCGTCCCGATTTAGATTCCAGGGATCTGTTTCGCGAAATTTTAACTAAGATAAAATCCAAATTTTGGTAATTTGATTGGATAATATTAGACTGATTTTAGTGCTTAGCCAATCAAAATTGAAGTATCTAGTAAAATTTGGATTTTAACTTTAGTTAAGAATTCGAGAAACAGGGCCCAGAGCTAAAAACTTTCAAGATATCTTTACCGAAACTTTGTACACATATTAACCTATTATAGTATGTGTACCTTTTGCTAATTCTTTTTTTTTTTGTGGGGGGGTTTATTATTTTTGTATTTTCTCACCCATGGATCATTATTTTTGAAAATTGGAGCTATGTGTACTCATAGCGAGAGAGAGAGAGAGAGAGAGAGAGAGAGAGGAAGACGAGGGATTTGGTTTAACGTCCACTCGACACAAACCAGGTCATTTCGGGACTAACATATGGTTCATTTCTATTCCAATAACTCGCTTGCACGTAGAAGTCTTTAGGAGTGGAAGTAAAGCGGGGGACCGGGAGAAAACCCACGAGGTTTTGGACAGGCGACCCTACTCCTTGTCACGTACTCAATAACAGACCTTATGATACAATGGGGTTTAACGTCCACTCGACACAAACTAGGTCATTTCGGAACTAACATATGGTTCAATTTTATTTCCATAATTTGCTTGCGCGTAGGGGTCTTTAGCAGTGGGAGGAAACCGGAGGGCCCGGAGAAAACCCACGAGGTTGGACAGGCGACCCTACTCCTTGTCACGTACAACCGGGGATTCGAAACCACGCCAGTTGACTCAATGACAGACTTTATGATACAGCGCGCACGTGCTAACCATTCAGCCATCCAACCCCCCGGCTCAGTGAGTAAGACGTTGGCTCGCTAACCTGAAGGTCCCGTTCAGTTACGCTGTTTAACAATGGACTATGGAGCCCTGGTGGCTCAGTGAGTATGACGTTGGCTCGCTAACCTGGAGGTCTCGTGTTCGATCTCTGCGTTGGCCGAGAAAGTTAGTCGGGATTTTCCGGTGTGGTTCTTCTTTGTCAGTGGTGCAGGACCGACAGTCTGGCAAGGGACAACGTATAGTCGTTCGAATGGAACGAAAAACCATGGCCCCGTGTACACATTGGCGTGCACGTAAAAGAACTCTTGACAGTTCGAAGTAAAAGCCATAGCGCCGCTGTCCGGACAAAATGTCCCTCATAGTACACCACATGCCGTATGCCCATCTTCATTTGTCCAGTAGGAGCAGAACAGTAGGACGTTAAACCCCATTTCATTTCTTTCTTATACTCGCATGTTGGGTGGGCCTCATTTTCTTCCACCTAACAAATAGTCACGCTCAATTGGGGATATAGGCAAAGAAAGGTCCTCTATTCCACTTATGAGGCCCCTTCCAATCCCCGTCTCCCATAACTATAATAGGAAGATTAAAATGTGTTTTGACCACAATTGAACAAAACCGGGATGACGAATGTTTAAGATTACAGGCTAATGACAGTGTCAAAATATTATATACGTTGGCAGGAGGCCCCCTAGATTCTGAGGCCCGGGTTTCAGTCCGCTACGCCTATACGCAAATTCTATACTGAATTGTATTTGCCAGGTCCAAAGGCTTTAACCTTGGAAACCGAGTTCCAAAAAACACAATTTTATTATTGGGAAGGGGGTTTTATAATTGTGCGGGACTAAAGGATACCAAAAAATGGTCTAACAGACAATGCAGGTGAGGGTGCACAAAAAAATAAAATAACATGGAACAATTAGATACATATTCCCAGAGAAGAAATACATTTGAAGAAAGACCTAAAATGCATCCGAGCCCCGCTTTATTGATCCTACACGGATGTCACTTCATGTGCACTTGGTCTAACAGGCTGTCGAATACTACTACTATATTAACAGGTAGCGAAAGGGACATAACTCCTGTTTATGAGGCCATGCCATGACTCTCTTACCGTGAAATAATCGAAATCCGCACAGATGTTCTAAAACATTTCTCCGTTGCCAATTAATTTATTTATCTTTTCAAGATTATTGTCTATTCAACAAAATGTGTTATTGCTGGGAAGGATGATTTTTGCACCTGGGCATAATTAGGGGAGAAATCTCGGATATATTCCAGGGAATAAAAACGGGTTTATTACCACCCTTATCCAACAGTCCCAAGCAACTGTTATCTCTAATACACACATAATCTTGTGCCTGGATACACCTGTCTGCAATTCGCCGACATACTTCTGGTAAGCCATGAAATGAAATGAGGAATAACGTACTACTGTTCTCTACCGACTGAGTTAATGAAGACGTGCATGCGTCTCACTGTGATATGAGGGAACTAACTCCCGGACAGCGGTGTACTATACGGCTTACTCATATTACGAATTCCAACTGTCAATGGTTCTTTTACGTGCAAGCCATTGTGTACACGGGATTTCAGTTTTCCGTCCCATCCGAACAACTATACGTTGTAAACTGCCTGGCCCTCCTTCCTGCACTACTAACAAGAGGGAAAATTCTAGTGAACTTCTCGGCAATAAACGGGATCGAACACGAGACCCCCAGGTTAGCGACCCGCAGGTTATTGATGTATATTAATTACCCATTTAGCAAAGTTCACAAACCGAATTGAATAGCTGAGTTTATCAAATCACACAATGAAACATTGGAGGGCAAGGCTATAAAACAATTATATAACCAATATGAACTGTTCTGAGAATCATTTCCAAATGTTTAATACCAAATAAAATAGTCCGGGTTCATGGTCTATCAATTAAAGGGAGATAACAATGGTATTCCTACAGGTGGTCTCAGACTAGTATTGACTTCAGTTCAATGTTAAATACATGTTATTCCTTGGCTTATAACCTATTTTTTGTATGCAAAAAGGGTTGGGGGGGAGGCTAGGGGAGAAATTGAGAACTGCCATACATAGACACACTACATATGTGTATCATGAAATAAGGGAAAGCAATCATTAGTTTTATTTTATAATATTTCAAATTTACTCTGAGTGTACATGACCAAGAGAATTCAACCTAAAATTCTTTATAAGTACTTTACATGTATATAGAGGATATTTGTCGTTTTGTCGTGAATAACATATTTTATTTCATCGAGAAGCAAGAAAACTTATATTTTCACGAATGCGTAGCATGAGTGAAAATATAAACGTTTTTTTGCTTAGAGATGAAATAAAATATGTTATTGATGACAAAACGACAAATGTTCTATTTATTTTATGATTTTACAATCAATTTAGGTAAAAACAACATAGACTACTGCTAGCCAGTGGAATAACACTTTTATTTCACTGATAAAACACGGTATTCCACTACTGATCATAAAATAAAATTCTTTTATTTAATATTACATTAGTCCATCAACTTTTCATCCTAATATATGAGCACACCTTTGTTACTCGAAAAGCTCACTTTGAAGGAAGCCAATTGAATAGGCCCCAAAACATGACCTCATAAATGTACATACGTTAATCAAAATGAAATGAAATGGGTTTAACGTCCTACGGTTCTCTGTTCTGGTCCGACTGGGCTAATGAAGACGGGCATGCCCTATATAGTGTGCTATGAGGGAAATGTTGCCCAGGCAGTGGCACTATGGCCTACTCTTATATTGAATTCCAACTGTCAAAGGATCTTTTACTTGCACGCCAATGTATACACGGGACCTTTGTTTTTCGTATCATCCAAATGACTAGACAGTTGTCCTTGTCAGACCCTCCGTCGAAAAATCCTGATGAACTTTCTCAGCCAATGCAGGGATCGATCACGCAACCTCCAGGCTAGCGAGTCAGCGTCTTACCCACTTAGCAACCGTGGCTCCACACACGTTAATCAACTCATTTTATTCTTTGAATGGTATTTAGTAACTGGAACGTAGGTGTTTATATGCTTGATAACGATCTTGTTGAAATGTCGCAGTGTAATAAAGTGTTTATATGTTTGATAACAACTTGTGAAATCTTGTTGAAATGTTGCAGTGTAATAATACATGTACTGTTTTATTTAATTAACTCGAATATTTTTACAACAGGACGTTTTCTGAGGGTATATGCAAATGCATAAACGTTATAAGCCTGCTCCAGTGTATGTACGGCTTTAATGGATATAAACTTCAGCTTAATTGAATAAGCTAAGCAGATCGTTGAACCACTATTGTTATATTTTCTCTGCATCATCACTTGACTAGTTTTTGTAACATTATCAAGACTCCATCTAAAATGATATCAATGTCAGCACACTGTCCCTAGGCAACATGAATCATTTATTTCACAGACATAATTTAAATCTACACCTGTCACCTGAATAAAACCTTTTTTGATTTTGTTGAAGTTATTAAGTCTCTAGCTTTTAATTTTCTAACAGATTCACGAAGGTGCTTAGGCTGAAGAGGACCTGTTTCATTCCAGTGTTCCATCACATCCAAGGCTGAAAACAGACATTTCAAAATTAAATTTTAAAAAGGTCAGATTTAATCCATGTATGTACATGTAGGCCTATCATGTAGCAACTAACTCAATAATAAATCAATAAATGTTTTAAAACCCTGTTAGACCTGGGGCCTTTTTCACGAAATTGTAACTAAGATGAAATCCGAATTTTAGTAATTTGATTGGATAATATTTGATTGATTTTAGTGCTTAGCCAATCAAAATTGAAGTATGTACTAAAATTTGGATTTTATCTTTAGTTAAAATTCCATGAAACAGGGCGCAGACTGTTACAGGTAAATACATTAATGGATGGCAAGAAACTAAAAGACACAGATCCACTGCTTGGGCAAGATGTTTTCATAAATTACATTTCACCATGGAATTTGTTGTTTTTTTAAAGCGCAGTATAAATGAATAGAATCACTCTCCCTATTATGATATAACTCTCGTTATTTACTGATTGAAGGCCGGATTATCCAATGTTAATTTAACACAAATTGTGTGTCAGGACCGTTGATTGATGTCGTAATTCGGAATATTCAGAATCCAGACTACTCAAAACTTTTGGGGTTGAAGTAATAAGGAAACAAATCGGGACATGAAAATGATGACAGATTTCACAGAATGCTGTAGTATTCAGATGTCGGAAGTGACAGAGTCCACTGTACTTTTGTTTTTTAATTTAGCCTTTTTCCTTAAGAAACAAGTTCACAACATTTTAACAGGTGTTCATGTGACCTTGATGTTGCGTAAAGGGGGACAGAAAATCAACTTCATGTGACCTTATGAAAGGAAACAATTGGCACAAAATTGACCCACCCAACATATTTAACAGTAATTTTATTTCAATTTTGGCACGAAAGTTGAATAGAGCATTTTGCATTTAAGCTCTTCATGTTTCATGTTTTGTGATAAAATAGGTTCTACCTTCTTCTACTACTTCTCCAACGAACACCTTGGCTATACCAGACATGGCAATCACTACATTCTGGGGTACAGTACAACCAGTTATAGACTGCATCAACTTGAAAAATAACATTTAATCACTTAATAACATAGAAATAAAATGAAATGGGGTTTAATAATGTCTTACTGTTTTGCTCCGACTGGGATAATGAAAAAGGACATATGCCAGACAGTGTGCTATAAGGGAAATTTTGTCTGGGCAGCGGCACTATGGTCTACTCTTATATCAAATTCCAACAGCCAAAGGATCTTTTGCGTGCATGCCAATGTATACATGGGACCTCAGTTTTCTATCCCATCCAAATCACTAGACAGCTGTCCTTGTCAGGCCCTCTGTCCTGCACTGGTCACTGGAATAACATACATATAAAAAGTTCTATCCAGGATTATAGCCAGGAGAAATTAGTGCTGGCTGTTTGTCTAACACCAGAGGATGGAGATGTAGGGTAGGCAAGCAAGCATGGAGCGTGACACGGAAGAATGTGGGAGTACGTTGTGGAATTTGTAAGTTTCTCAGATGCCTTCTTCTCTTGTCATCTGACATACAAATCTAGAATTTTAGACAAGTTGAAGTTAACATAAATATGTTCCTTGAAAGCCTTGTGTTGGTATCCCTCAAATGGAACAATAATATTCAATAAATGTTGATTACCCTAAGCTGCTAAATGTACCATAATTTTAATGGGTATCTTACGAGGTTTTTAAGGACTAGACCCCATGCCAATAAAATTATGAGGTATTGATCACATGGTCATAAGTGGTGTTTTTATTGGACTAGAGATAAAAGCTTTAAAGGCGAGGTGTAAGGCATCAGGAACGTTCAAATAGTGTAAAAACATTGAAATGGGAAAATACAGAGTTACAAGTTTTTGACTTCCGAGTGACGATATACATGTTTGTAGATCATTTATAGTTACAATGTAACTTTATGTTACATGTAATACTATAATCCTTCCGTCACAATGAACAATCTAACCAAGTTTTAACAAATTCCATTGTGTTAAACAGTTTGTGTAATTTTCTTTACAGAACTAAGACACATATTTGGTATGAAAATGACAAGTTTTACCAGGGACGTGTAACAAGTATTTTTATATGCAGGAGTAGACCTACACTAAGTACATAGTTACATATTAGTTAAACATGTAATATCAATCCCACCAACACAGATATAATTATTTCTTAAGTGTATAGTTGATTGATCTCAATCCATCTTGGATTCCAAATGGGCTGAATAGATGCTTACCCTTCTAACAGCTGCTTTAGGAAAAGCAGCTCTTCTGTACATTTCATATCTGTTCAACTGTTCTTCAGAGAAATTAGAAACTAACACTCTGGAATTACAAAATAAAAGAAAATGATATATAAATATTCCCAACCGTGTGATGCCATGCCTTTAGCTTATTCCAAGTTTAATATTTATTTAGAATGTATGGACTATATGTAAAATTCTGTGTGTGTGATTTGTCTCTGTTGTGAATTTACTTTCTCAACGAATCCCTCCTACCCCTGCACTTACTAATGGTTATATCTAAGAATATTGTATTATACATTATACATCCAGAATAGTTGATATCATATCATATACCTAGTAATTTTATAAACGGTGCCGGTACAGTATTTTGCAATGTGGTAGAGCGGCTTTAAGAAAATAAGAAAATATTGGTGACATCAGTAAAATAACAACCTTGGACCATCATGTCAAATGGGTGTAGACTAACTAGGCCTTTAAAAATTATTGGCAAAGGAAACAAGACAAAGTTACATGGACTTAGAAACCTACTGCATTTTCAATCTTTCTTCTTCTTGTTTTTCTTTCTTTTGTTTGTTGTGGGCATGGTCTTCCTCATTTTCCGTTTTTCTTTTCTTTTCTGGCGGTGATCCTGAAGGTGTGCGTTTCCTGTCTGGTGTGTCTTGTTTAGCTGAAGGCTTTTCTGAGTCAGAATCAGAACTGGGTGTGTGGACTTTCCTTTTGGATCCTGACGGGGAAGGGGAGTCCTTTGATTTTTCTGGAGTGTTTTTGGGGGGAGTTTTCATGATATCCATTTCAAGCTGAATCAGGTATACTATTGTTCACAATTATAAAAATTCTTGTGTGTATCTTTCGCAAAGAATTCGTTGTTTCTGTGCCAAAAATTTCATTTTAATCTGTACATTTCCTGAAATAAATCTAACCGGAAGTTTATTTGTTATGATTTCGTGGAGTGGCTCACGGGATAGGCTAAAATTTATTTTGCCAGGTAAAGTGTACTTTACTAACAAAGGATAAAAGGGTTCTCTTTTAAAATATAAATTAGCTTATTAATGTCATTAAATCGCGTCTACCATATCTTGAAACCTTCACACATGCACAGCTCAAATTACAGGTCACTGTGCTGTATAAGGTCACCATTCGTTGAACAACGAGGTTACCTTTTCCTTTCGGCTTTTCATCGCATAATAAAGCGCACTAATACAAACACAACATTTTCCCATTAATGCAAACAGTCAATCGAAAACATTTGTTTGGGTCAGCCAACAACGAATATTTACCCCAAACTACGAATAGTTCGGTTGCCAACATTCTTGGGGCTTCAGTAACAAGGGAATCCATGAACTATTTGTCTAATCGAGCGAATTCATTGGCTTCCGGTTGGAGGTAAACAGTTTTGCTCAGTTTCCATTTGCTGTGTGACAAAATATCGGATGATTTTTTAGTGCGGCGAAATAAATTAATGTGGAAATTACCGACCAACCGCTGAAATTTGGAGGATTAAGAATAAACTCCTGAAGGGCCGGGTAAGATTACTCTATATCTGATATTAACTTCATATTTTAGACTTCGCTGTTGTTGTAGGCCGTCAAAACTAGACGTTTTGTCGACGGATACTTTTTTCCAGAAAACATTTCCATTCCTATTGGATTTCAGTTGATTTTTAGAACTTCTAGTTTATGTCTATAAGGTTTGTCATTGTAGCAAACAACATAATTTTTTTTATGAATCAAAGGAAAAGAAATGACATCTTTATATGGATTAGGAGCAATTGCATGAATGAAGCCCACCAACTACATGACAAGCTAGTTTAGTTAGATCGAAATTTACTGTCAGCACAGACATTAGTCAGATCGAAATTATGTGCTTCCTATATGAAGGAAGATTTCTTTGTAAGAAATATATCATATCCTGCTGAATTCTTAATAGAGGCCTATTGCATTAGTATTAAACTGCATTACTAATTCATATCAGAGATCAGATGAACCAACAATACAGTAGGGAACTACTCTAGGGATTTACGTCCGCTTCCATAAGTTCCATCTAGAACCAATGTTGCGGGCAAACCAATATATCATTATAGGTGTGTGTGCATAGATGCAACAGTTTATAATAACAAATCAACACCAGTCCATCTGCAATATACATGTATCACAGTGACTACAATGTATCAGGTATATCACCAATCCAGAAAGTGTATGAATCAGATTTATTTAACTTCTGATTACAGCAAGGTGATATCTCTGAAGCAGTAAAAAAAAAACACTGTCTTATTTAACTGTGTGACATAGCTTTACTGGGTCCGCTTCCACATAAGTGACACAGCAGACCATTACATGTTTATACATTGATGAATCTTTTCAATATCCCAGTGTTACTGGATACACCACCAGTCAATATACACCAGCCAATTTGCAATATACACCAGTCAATCATCAATATATCACAGTGATTACTAGATAGATCACTAATCAATATTTAAATATACATGTTTACACCAGCTCATCTTTAATATATTATTGGATACACAATATCTTTCTACTGATCAATATTGTCATTAAATATACAAAGTAAATTTAGGTCATTATGAAGAAAAAAATTTCACATTATTGAATAACATATAGTGAGTATACACATTAAGGAATTTAAAGGTGATCAAGACAGTTACTGATAATTACTAAAATGGTTCAATGTCTTAATCAGTGACAAAGTTAATTTCTAATGGTTAACTCTCTTTTACATTTCCAATTCATCATATATGATAAAAATCAACATTTTCTGACAAATTGGACACCGATACCTGGAATGAAGCACATCCTTTTTCCTCATGTTGAAATATTTGTCTCCAATTTTTTTCATGTGCCCTTTGTCCATTATTTGGTTCATTTTCAAACTGGTGTTTGATCCCGTCATTGGCCGAGAAAGTTCATACACATTTTCCCACGTGGTTCTCCCTTGTCAGTGATGCAGGAGGGGATGAAAAAAATGAGGTCCTGTGTACACATTGGCGTGGACGTAAAAGATCCCTTGACAGTTGGAATTCGATATATGAGTAGGCCATAGTGCCGCTGTCCAGGCAAAATTTTCCTCACAGCACACTGTATGACGTATGCCCAGTTCGGAGCAAAACAGTAGGATGCTAAACCCCATTTCATTTCATTTTCACACTATATTATTGGAAGGACGATGTACATGTAAATGTAAATTAATAAAGAATTGCATTCATTTTCAACACCATTGTACATCTATTCTGTCTTTAATCAATAATTTCTTGTGAAAATTCTAGATACATATACTTTATGCGTATTTGCCATTTTTTGCCAATGACTATGCACAAATCTTTACATAATAAAACCATTAAAACCAGACACTTGAACTTTTTTATCGAAAGTCCATGTAGTGCTTATTTCTCAGGGTTATAAGATTATTATTAATTCCTATCCAACTGTGAGAGAGCCAGTACTGGCTAGGTTATTGAGAACATCAGCTCTTTTTAGATTGTACAAATAGATATCCTACTGAGGTAGTTCATCATATTAATATAAATAATAACAGTAAACAAACTAATGTTTATATTGGCTATATACATGTTTCTGTAGAATTAGGCCTACAATCTTTTATTTGTTTTGAGTCCACTTCTCCATAACAGACCAAATTGAATACAATTCATGTATGCTTTTTCAATGAATTTGTGATTGCAATTTGCAAGCTTATACCGTCAGGACCTTGTTCTAAAAGAAAGCAGTGCATTATTTGCTTCACGTTATTGCCCAATATCCTGGAAAAGGGCCAAAATGTGTCAAAATCTGTGCACTGTTCACATAAAATGTTACACAGAATTGTATTATTAAAATGCAAGGTTTTGATATCTGCTTTGGTATGCTCTTTTGTCACTAGTTTCTTGCATATACATATAGAACTTTGATGGTTTGAATAAACCAGAAGGAATACATACAGTATGTAATGTAGGTTCTTGAGCACTGAGTGATGATGAAATTTGGTAAATTCAAATGGTCTTAATTGTCAGATAAAAATCCTACCAAGGTGATAACAGTTATTTTAAAATCAATTATCTTATCATTGTGACCTTGTAAAGTTGATAATTTAAATGTGACTGAATGTTATGATATTGACAAATTAAAGTTCACTTTTCATCTAGAGCCCAACTTGTATGAAATTAAAATCATTTACTTCTAATAAGCTTGCTAAACGGTTATTACTGATAGACAAAGTGTTGGATATTAGGTGTTGTTTTTAGTTTACATAAAAAACTTTGAATATTATTAAGGTGGCATATATTGGACAAATGAAGGCACACATAGGTGTTTTGACATCAGAGTAAATCTTCAGTATTTGTAAATACAATGCAGTGATTTTGCCATAATAAATCTGTTGCATGAGTGAAATTAACTGAAAGAAAAGAATAGGAGGTAACAAAAAATTATAATGCTTATCCCAGGAGCAAAGAAAAGCGAAAGGCAAGCAGGACATGCTATTAATAGTGGTTCTACACATAAAGTAGATCAGGTAATTCATTGTTAGTTATGGGTTTAAAATGGCTTCCACATTCTCCCAATTTAAATTTATGATGAGAAGCAACCTATAACCAGTGAAGATTAGACAAACTCCTTGGTGGTAATAAACAAATTTATTGGTGTAAACGTTTCGGACAAGTGGTGTCCTTCTTGAATTTATGTGGGTACTAAATGGACAGAATGTCTATTCCTGCATCATCTTATACTGTATATGAATGAATTTTGTACTGTATACAGCTTACTACATGTAGAAAGAGAAGTTAACAGAAGGAACTTGAAGAAACATCACTTGCATTTGCTTGCCTCAAAATAAGGCACCTGTCACAGACAATGTCAGACACAAATTCTGGATTTGTCAGGCACAATTTATCTGAGGCCAGACATTTTGTCTGTCACTGATTTGTCTTTTTTTCAGCCATTCACAGATATTTTTGGGCCAGGAACTGGTCGCTAACCACTACTCATCTTGTTCTTCGTGGGGTGACACTCTTAAAAAAGCCTAAGGCTCCGTCAATTTGGTGAATTAGATTTTTTAATTTCATCCAACAACATGGACCAGGGTCAGTTCCTGGTCCATAGTAGGATTGTACTTGTTAATACATACATGTCAAGGATCAAAATGTCAGATAATGTACCAGTTCATCAGTGTCTGACATTTTATCAGGTTCTAACAAATCTAAAATCATGCACTATTTTGAGTCGTGATCATTCTTCAATTTCAAACATTGAATGATTTCAATGAATAAACAGAAAGATGGATATTTAGAAGTTAGAACATATTATGCATGTGTGTAATGAAATTAACTTACACATGTTATTTACAATGTATGTATTTAAAATAATTTGTTTTGTCTTTCTGATGGTTTTAATACTATTACCCTAATGATATTGACTACAGATGTATAATTGTTCAAAGATGGGGCATGTTTTTTGGTACACCGACATTATTTGATATTGACAGTTTGTATAAACTTTTGTGAACTTGTTAATGTTAATAGATCTGAATACATGTATAATGTGCATACAAACATGATTAATCCCATTAAATTTTAATCTTACTTTATTTATACATGTACTCATGGTATTTTTATATTAAAGCTTTTGTTAATACTGTTATACACCCAATGTATGGTATTCATTACATGTGCAACAATTTAAATTGAATACACGTGTGCCTGTACTACTGTGGATTGAAATTAGAGTGAAAAAAAGTTAAAAACTATTAATTAAATACTATACACAGGCTATTAATTTATTAACTTGTAGCTTCTACAGGAAGGAGGGTGATGGATGACTGAATGATATAATGTGCGCTTTAAATCATAAGGCAGGGTGTCATTGAATCAAGTGTCATTGCTCTGATCCCACACTTGAACATGATTATTGATAAGGAATCGTGTTACCTATTCAACTGTGTGGGTTTTTGTCTGGGTTCTCCAGAATTATGGAAATGAAACTGAACAATATTTTAGTTGAGAAGTTAAACCCCATCGGGGTGGGGGTGGATGGCCGAATGGTAAGCACGTGCGCGCTGTATCATACGGTCTGTCATTGAGTCAACTGGCGGGGTTTCGATTCCCCGGTTGTACGTGACGAGGAGAGTCACCTGTCCAACCTCGAAGGTTTTCTCCGGGTCCCCCGGTTTCCTCCCACTGCTAAAGACCCCTACGTGCAAGCGATTTATTGAACTAAATTGAACCATGTGTTAGTCCCAAAATGACCTAGTTTATGTCGAGTGGACGTTAACCCCATCAGTCTCTCTCTCTCTTTATCTCTCTCTACAGGAAGGTGTATATCACACAACCTCTGACCTGTGCTGTAGTTCTGTTAAGCCCAGGTGTGGGATTAACTGGACTTCTCTTTCATCTCTTTAACACCTTTCATCCTTTAGATACATGTACTTAGAAAATAGTGCTGACAAGTTTACATTTGTAGAGATGTATGGGTGATAATAGTATATACATGTACTGGGTATTTCTTGCAGATTGTTT